GCTGATTCAGGCCAGGCAGTGATTCCTCTCAAGTTTGTAGATCCAGATCAGTGGAGCGACGCGTTAAAAGTCATCAAGAGAAACAAGGACAAGATTTTGCTCACCATGTCATCAGAAGAAGTTATTGTTAGTGGTCCAAAGCAAAGCCAAGATGAATTCAGTGCCGTCCTGAATGCAATGCAGACGACAAACACACCAGCTGAACAGCACAAACCTGCTACAGATGGTACATTACTGAAGATGTACATGGACCTCAAAAATCCATTTACTAAGGCAAGACTACCAACAGAAGAAAAACGCAGGAAGGTGGCTAAGACATCTGCTGAAGATCTTAACACCAAAGATAAATGTGGTTTAGAGGTTAAATCTAGCAACAGACAAGGCGATAGTGATTTAGGAAATTACTTTCAGTCTTTGCTGCAACAGAAAAGGGACTCTAGAGCAGATCTACAGAATTCCATTAAAACGTCAACCAGGCAGTTTTTGGAGGACAGCAAAGATGACTCATGTTCAATTTGTTTGTCCGATTTTATTAATAAGAAGCAGCTGAAGTGTAAACATGCATTTTGTGAGGGGTGCCTGCAAAATGCAATAAAAACATGTGGACCCATCTGTCCGATATGCAAGGATGTTTTTGGTGTGATGAAGGGAAACCAACCTGATGGAACAATGACTTGGAATAAGTATCCATTATCCCTCCCTGGATTCCCATATAATGGCCATATATTAATCACCTACGACATTCCAAGTGGAAAACAGACGGTAATGTCTAAGCACATATTATCTATATCAGTAATTTAACTGTAATGTCAGACAGATGCCATTAACCTGAATTTTTCCTGGCAGGAAGATCATCCAGAACCTGGTCAGTACTATGGAGGAACTACCAGAATAGCATATCTTCCTGACAACAAAGAGGGAAATGAAGTTCTGCTTCTCCTGAAAAAAGCTTTTGACCAGAAGCTGATTTTCACTGTTGGGACTTCGAGGACAACTGGGATGGATAACATGGTGACCTGGAATGACATCAATCACAAGACGTCCATGACAGGAGGACCACAGTGGTACGGGTCACCATTTTGTTCCCTTTGTATTCACTGAGTCAGCCTTCGGTTTCATGTATTAATCCTTTTAAATTTTGCTTCCTCAGCTTTGGGTATCCAGATGAGAACTACCTGAGCAGAGTCAAGGAGCAGCTGAAAGCGAAGGGCATCCAGTGAAGTCTTTACATTAACTGAATTTTTAAAAAGCAATTAAAGGAATGTTTTCTTAAAATCTTATTAATTGGATTTATGTATTTTTATTCCTTTCATTAAGAAATGTTTTATAATAAATAAGAGTTTGGGGGCGACTAAAAGCTGATTAGTTGTTCTTATTTATCATCATGCAACTAAACAAATCACATAATTCGAGGTTTTACCAACACGTTTGATTATTTTTCTTCACATTTATTCAGTATGAAATCACAGGTGAAATGTATAAATGTAACTGTCATCAAATGACAATTAAGATGATTAGATTAGGTATTTCCCAAATAAATTATTAATTAACATATAATTTAGTTTATTTATTTTAAATGAACTATATAATATGTTTCATTAATGTTCATTAATGGACTATGCCCATTAATGAATATATTGCTGTTCTTGGTAGGATGACATCATATATATTTTCTAAAAACACAACATTTAATAGTCATGTAAACATGTAGTCAGTATGTAATAGTCTTTATACAGAATTGATTAGCTTTGAATTGCTGTTTAATAGATTCAAATATGCCTGTTAAAAGTGTAGTTTTTTGGGAACAAAGTTCTAATTTATGTGACTGTATGATTTTTTTTATGACATTGTTGTGTTTTTATGATGTAAAGCACTGTGAAATGTCTTGTCGCTAAAATGTGCTACACAAATAGAATTTATTGATTGATTGATGGATTGATCGATCGATCAATCGATCATCCATCCATCCATTGCAGTTGTTTGTCCTTGCAGTAATGGGAGGACTGTTTTTGTGCTATTATCACCATTGGACTGCCATTACAAATATTCCAAAAGACAGTTTGTGATTTGCAACACCCTTTATTTAAGTTGCAAAAAGCTAAAAGGACCCTAACCCTAACTCAAGTCTACTAAAATGACACTCACTCATACATATCTTTATGGACCCTTCACTGGTGTGCAGTGATGTTGGAATAGGAAATAACTGTTCCCACAAAGAGCACTGATGCCTAGCAGCAAGAAGGTTCTGGGTTTGATTCCCGGCACGGGATCTTTCTGCATGGAGTTTGCAGAGTTTGCATGTTCTCCCTGTTCATGCGTTGTTCTCTCCGGGTACTCCGGCTTCCTCCCACAGTCCAAAAACGTGACTGTCAGGTTAATTGGTTTCTCTAAATTCTCCTTAGGTGAGTGTGTGTGTGTGTGTGTGTGTGTGTGTGTGTGTGTGTGTGTGTGTGTGTGTGTGTGTGTGTGTGTGTGTGTGTGCGCGCATGATTGTTTGTCCTGTCTGTCTCTGTGTTGTCCTGTGACAGAGTGGCTACCTGTCCAGGTGACCTCGTCTCTTGCCCTAAATGTCTCACTGGAGATAGGCACCAGCAACACAAGGGTGTAAAGAAGATGGATGGGTGGATGTTCCCACAAAGTTGGAAGCAGTTCATTGTTCAATTTGTCTTGTATCCTTTGGCATTCAGAGTTTTGTTTCCTGGAAGAACTGAAGAACAACGTCTTACTGATTGGATTACCAGACAAAAAAAAGCATACCTGGTCACTTTAAGTATCAGTGCACTCTGTATTACTGCATCCAAAACTTTGCCTTACATTTAGTGATGTGAGACATAGATGGAGCTGCTTGATGATGGAAAACCATGAAGCTCTTTATCTGAGCGACATGCAGTTTGGAGTTTGGGAGAAATACATCCACTGGATGATTTACATAATACAAATAGCATTGTAATCCCTTAATACTATATGACTATAACAAGAAATATTCCAAAAGCAGTCAGCCATTGCCTTTGGGTGGAGGCAAAATATGAATAATAATAAGGAAAAAACAACAACTTTTACTTAAGATATTTTTTAAAAGCAAAGAAAATGTTCTCAAGCCAAACAAAAGCTAATTCCTTTCAAAATATTACAATAAAACGGGTATAGAAGCCATTACAACAAAAACATTTTCACATTTCTACTTTCCCTTCAAATAAAGTGAGGAAAATCCAAGAAAAATCATTATTTACATTTATTCTTTAAAACAATTTATGACTTCAATTTTTTAATTTTATAAGACAATTTAATTTGTGTAAGACACAAGGGATATCAAAAGAGCATTTATGACAAATGCAATGATTCATACTCTGAAAATAGAGTGATTGTGCCCTGTATTCAGTGGTGATGAGTAAATATTTAATTGAAATCATTATCATTACAAAAGTCATAATATACGAGTTAAGCTTTTCCAAAGCTCTCCCCATTTGAAAAGCATTAAAATGTTTAATAAATGAACTCCCCAAATACATAAAGAAAACTCCTATCAAGTATGTTTGTTTCTTTTTTTTTATCCGTTGTCTTTTAAAAAGATCAAATTTAGAAAAATAGACTAACTTAAAAGTGTAAGCTTTAACTTATGCCTGCAATTTTCTAAAAAGAGTATGTGAAGATTTTTGTGTAGCTCTTAAGCTGAACTGCGCCAAGTTTTAGTATTTGTGTGAATGAATAATTGTGAAACAAATCTAACTCCATAGTGCAACATGAAATGCCTCAGGGTTTCTCAGGAAAGAAGCGGTAAGAAGCTTGTAAGACTGATTAAGGAACAATGAGCTACTTCAGCACATAAAACTATTGAAGGCTCTGTCAGCTCCCGGATCAGTGGCGCAACTGCACATTATTCAGGTGCGCCCCGAGGGAAGGAATTTCAGGGTGAAGTACCGACGCTCAAGCCCCCCGCCCCCACCCCCGAGGCGACGCTACGTGGAGTGTAAAACTCGCTACATGTACCTCGTTATGTGCGAGAGGTGAAGGAGCGTGAGGCGCGCTGAAGGGTATGGGAAAACCAGACGGGGTTTTGGCGCCCCCTCTGGTGCTGCGCCCTATGCGTTGCATACGCTGCATACCCACTTTTTGCGCCTCTGTCCCGGATAGTAGATGAAACGTCCAGAACAGAGATGACAACGAGTCCAGGGTAAATGCGTCGAGGACTCGGACTTCAGTCTCTTACATAGTAAGTGCATTTTGCCAACTGAGTCGCCAGCGGCAGCGCCCCGTCCTGATTTCAGTATCTGTTTCTGCTTTCACTTTCATTTACAAGGAAGTGTCAACGTTTGGAGCGAACAGGTGAAGGTAAGCGCTTTGAAAGTGTTGTTATATTCTCCTGTGTGGTTTCAGTGAAGCAAAGTAAGCAAAATGAATATGCTTGTTACATGAGCTGAAATGTCTGTCATTAAAGATCTGCTTTGTTTTGAAGAAAGGAAGTGGACCATCGCAATGTCTACTTTCATGGAAGAAGAGCTCATGGACTATCAGGCTCAGGTGTGTCACTGGCATTTGATATGTCTAATTTAAATTTCTTATGTCTAGAATACAAAAGCAATTTTCTTCTAATTAACATGAAGTATTTGCACAGCTTCTATTTAATAAGATTCATTTTTAAACACACTCTAAAGTACTTGACAATTTCAGGAAAATATTTAACTGATACTTTTGCAAAAGAAAATTGCAATAACTAAGGTTAAAGGATGTGACACACTAGGAAAAGTCTAAAGTGGATTGCTCAGTTAGACATTTTACCAGATGGGAGGGTTGTAATTATGATTGAATTATGAATGTACAATTGTGGAAATTTTGTTGTAATTTGCGGTAAGAGATGTAAATAAACAGCAAAACATTAAAATTCAGAAATAATGGAATGTTATGGCATTTAAATAAATGGAGATAAAAATAAAATAAAATAAAATATGCTGATGAAATAAAAAAGTAAAAGCTTTTAAGATTAAATGAAGATGAATTGAAACATCACAGATTCATTGAAATTTAATTGCTGAAAAATATGAATATTCTGTCTGCTTTTTAGGACAACTGGACATATTATGAGCAGTTCTTGTGTTCATGCAGTGTCCATACAATGTTCACGTCATTGTATGCAGTAACGTACTATAACAGTACAATGTTAAAAGGTACAGCTGGGCAGGGAGTTAATAGTGTATATTTAGATTTAGGTTTGAAGTAATCTTCTGGAAGTAATATTTACGTTTTGAAGTGACCCAACTAGATTCCTGGTCTGAATCTGAGGGAGAATCTGTGAAGAGAGGTAAAGATTAGGGTGATGGCAAAGAGACTTTCCATTTGGAGCTCATTACCACAGATAAATAATATAAGTATCAGAGGAAACATGGAAAAAGATGGTCAGAATTTATAAAGGTTTGATTGACAAAATGCATTAAACATTTCTCGTTGATTATTAAGAAGAGTGTAAACCATTTTGACCCAATATTAAAAAATACAGAAGAAGATAGCTCTAAACAATCTTTTGGTCTGTTTTACAGTTATTTTCACAGGCTGGTATGGATCCTCCAACAGATCGAGAAGAAGTCCTATTGACTCTGTTGTTGAAGTGGTTGGATAAGAACAAAAAGAAGACAGATCTACAAAAATCCCTCCAGACTCGGTTCAATAAATTAAAAACTAAAATAGACTGCACAGTTCAAGAGGTCTTACCAGATGGACGAGCTCTGATTCTGGTTTCACCTCCTCCAGGTATAGAACTGTATTTTCACATACAGCATGTGACAGACTCAGCAACTCTGTTAATCTAACCCTATAAAAAGGAATATTTATTTTGAACACACTGATATACTGCAATAATGACTTTTCAAATTACTGACAACTAAATGCATTTTTTCATTCTATTTTTTGTTTATTTTAAAGGTCTCAAAGAGCTTCAGAAGCTGAGTGGAAAAACACTTTATACAAAAGACAAAAAACAATTAGTCACCATTCTGTCTGTAATGCTGGAAATACCAAAGCAGGATCCACAAACAGCAGACGATGCTTCAGTGAATCCGACTCCTCCAGCGGCTTCAGTAAACACCAAAGATGCTGATTTGGAGTCACCAGCTGGACACACTTTAACACAGGTAAAGAGCTGCGAAAAAGTATTTGCTTATCTACCATAATTATTTTTGACACACTTAAATGTTTTAGATCATCAACCTAATTTCAATATTGGATAGAGATAACTTGAATAAATGCAAAAACCTATTTCCAAATTATGATTTCATTTATTTCAGGAAAAACCTATTCAAACCAACCTGGCCCTCTGGCAAAAAAATAATTGAACCTCATTGTTAACTTATAAATTAATTGTGATTAAATTGTCTTTTTAGGAAGTTGTGCTCAGTTCATAAGCCAACATAATATATAATTTCGATTGAATGCCCATGATGGCTGAAAGATCTCAAAAAGCGACACCACCTGTACATAATTCAAAACATGTAAAAGATTTGATATCAATCAGTCTGGAAAAGGTTACAAAACCATTTGTAAAATTTTGGGATGCCAGCAAACCAAAGCAAGTTATTATTCACAGCAGCAGAAAATATGGATCAGTGGGAAGCCTTGAGAGGCTGGTCAACCAAAATTACTTCAAGAGCCCAATGTCAATTCAGCCAGGAAGTAAATAAACAGATGAACAGCAGATGAACGCAACTAACTTTTTCTCTGTAGTGACAAAAACTACTGACTGTGGCCCCAGTAACTTTTAACTGAAATTAAACGACTCCACATAAATTACAAGCACCTGCTGCGGTCTGAATACACTAATTCCTCCTGGTGGCATCTGCAGAGAAATCTGCGCTGGTTCAGTCAAGCCGGCCCAAGGCAAAAGCAAATTAAGAAGCTGCTTAGGGCCCCAGGGCCGCTAAGGGGCCCCCTCAGTGGAGCTGATTTTTATATATATTTTTAAGTAATAATTTCTATGTCATTATAATATCAAAAACACACTGATTGCAGTTTTCTGACCGATCTCTGGTTACTGATCTTTAAAAAGCCTGACCTGCCAATTTTGACTTTGGCTGATATGATTTTTTTTTTTGTTGTCTAAAATGTCGCTAGATATAGCAAGAAAGTCACTGATTTGGCAACAGTGGGGTGACTATTGTTAACTGTAAATGTGCAGACCTGACCTGGTGGGCCGGTCTTTCAGTCAAACCTCTCACTGTAGAGCAGAAGAGGACAGAGGCTGATTTTTAAACCTTTGCTGACAGAGATAAGATTAGAGGATAAGATGGGCTTCACATGCAAGTATCGGCCGATCACGATCCCCCAAAATTAAGGAAATCGGCGCCCAGAAATCAACTGGTCGATAAATCAGATGGCCAATAAATCTATCTTATATGTATATAATATAAACTGCACTGCCAACAGAGATGCAATAAGTTTATAGCAAGTGTGTGAATGATCTAATGATCGGACTACTGACTGCAGCCGGTCCACATTGTTAGCAGAACGAGAGGGCCCCAAAACCAAATTTCTCTTAGGGCCCCATGGAGGCTTGGGCCGGCCCTGACTCTGCCGGCCCAACTCTGCGAGTTTTATACTCTTTGTGCAGTCTGGGAATGTGCTTTTACCAGGGTCTTTTTGTGTGGTTTTGTAATTCAAAAATGATGAATTGGGTCCAAAGCAGAGGTCAACACAACAAACTACAACTCAGGTAGTAACACAAAGAACTCAAGCACAAACTGACCTAACAAACAAGACATGAGGGAAACTTAAATCGTGGCTGATCAGACCACAGCTGACACACAAGGGGTAATTAAACATACAAGAACGTAATTAACAAACATACTGGTCAACAGAATACTAAATCTTTAAATTAAATAAATACTATTAAAACTGATCAAACTGCCAAAAAGAAGAAACATGAAAGAAATAGTAAAATTAAACTAAAGAAAACCAAATTTCCCCTTCCCCTGGTAAACAAATGGAATGACCCGCTGAGGAGGTTTGCCAGTCATATAAGAAAAGCAATCAGCCAGAACAGAGTGACACTCCAGCAGCAGCTCCAAAGGAAACTGGTAACTCAAAACAAGATCTTTATTTTCTAATCTGTTGCATATAACCAAAATACAGAGAATTGACAGATAAAGTTAACTAAATGTGTGCACTGCAAATAGTTAACTGAAGAGTCAGGCTATTGAAAATAATTTTAAAATGAAAATCTAAACTATTCACTAATCAATATGTAAACTAATGTTAAGGATGAACAGAAAAACAATTACCTTTCAACGTCTCGGTGTGACAGTTGAGACAGCTGTCACAAACTTTATTGCCACATAAATCATTTAATTATGAATGATTATATAAATTTAATAACAGATTTTTTTTTTTTCATTTTAGAACATGGTCTTCTCTGTCAAGAGTGGTACTCCATTCACTTCGACAGCAGAAACAGCTCAAAAACGTTGTCTTCTGCCTCTGAATCACTTCTGGTACATGAATCACATCCACAAGGAAGGAATTAAACAGATTGAGAGGAAGAATAAAATTAAAATGGT